TAATGTGTGAGGTTTGTTTTGAGATGATCTCTCTGTATCTTTTTTCATCAATTCTCTTTGATTTCCTTCTTTTAATCATTGGTTGACTACTTACATGACTTCTTTTGTGACATAGTCCAACTGAAATGAGGTTCTTTTTATTGAACTAAACCTTTTGTGCTGGTAGGGGGCTGCACATGCTGTTAAGATGGCTAGAGAATACACTGAAGTGATGATAGAAGAGAAAACCTTGGAGAATCGATTCAATCTTGACTTGGGAGAGAAAAAGTCTAGCAAGAAGGTTATCCTACTGCCAATACATGCTATTTTAAATCTCCAAGAACCAAAATATAGGTGAAGTGACTAGTCAATATAATTCTTATGGTGTTTCTTTCAGGTTGGGGATGTTATCCTACCTACCCTCGTGGACCAAAGGTAGTTCTAAAGAGTTCATCAGTAAGCATAGGGAAGCTCTTGAATCTGATTATGTCTCGGAAAATTGGCATCAATGGATTGACCTCATTTTTGGATATAAACGAAGAGGGAAGGTGGGTGTCATTGCTTGTCCCCCCATCTTGTTTGACTGTTCTTGTAATTTCTGAATCTTATTATTACATTGTTAAAAGTTTTCATTAACTTTTATTGTTGCAGGTTTAACTCTCCAATCTAATCTCACTTTCTTTAATCCTTTGCATGCATTTATTTATGTGGAAGGCTCTAATCTAGTTTGCCCTTGGACATGACCATGATGGTCTCGCATGGTGAAATATTCTTTATGCTTCATTTTATTTTTGAAGAGCAGGGGAAAATAATGTTTTTATTTCTTGTACTGCCTGATATTTTGCATCCATCGTACTTTGTAATATTAGCATCTTGAGTTGCATTTATATTTTTGGGCATGTAAAATCTTTCATTTATATATATATATATATATATATATATATAGGTGTAGGTTATATTTACAAATTTTTTTATTTACAAACTCTTATAAACTATATTATCTTCTCTCAGGAGAACACTAATCACATTATCTTTTCCCGGAAGAACATAGTGCAATTTGCATAAATTTATAAACGGATCATTCCCTCTATATATATATATATATATATATATATTTTAATTCGTACAAAATGACATGCATCGTACCCTTATTTTATTTCCCCCCTTTTTTTTTTTGGTTTTAGTTTATCCTTTAACATTACCAGAAAAACTTTTCTACACACATAACATTTTGTGGAGCCCACACTTTTTAAAGCAAAAAAAAAAACTATGACACGCAAAACGAATCTTTATAACATTACACAATCACTTTTTCTACAACATAACTCTTATAAAACCCTTTTTTTTATCAATAACTGCGACTTGGAAGCTACGTTACATCGTACATGTCAGATCTGGGAGAAGACTAAGAGCCTGTTTGTTTCACCTTTTCCAAAAAATAGCTTTTATCTCTTTCTTAATTTAGAAGTGCTTTTTACAAAAGTTAAAGCTATTTATATTTTTATAAAAATACTTAGTTTTTGAAAAAAATATTTGACTTTTGACTTTTGCTTTTTTTATAAGTTGAAATTTTTAGCTTCTGAAAAAGTAAATTTTTGGCTTTTTTTGTAACTTCTGCTTTTTTTAAAAGCAACATCCAAACGCACTAAAAATGAGATGTGCTTTTTTTCAAGAAAAAAAGCAACTTTTAGAAGAAAAAAAAGTCCATCCAAACGAGCCCTAAAGCATCCATTCATCCATATTTATACATATCAACAAGAGGCAACAAGTTTTTCCAATACACTTAAAAAGATGTGAGATTCATTTTAATTTTTTTTTCTCTTTCCTTATACAGAGACTCACATAAGTTTGTGAATGCAACATGAGATATTTTATCTCCTGTTGCATAAGAAAATATAATCCCTATCAACAAATATCACATTAATTGTTTTCAAACTCTTATAATTAAATCTTAACCGTTAATTTTTATCAATTCAATAACTAATGAATTAATAATTGAGATTTAATAAATTATAACTGTTAAATTAACGAAAATTAACTGTTAAGATTTAGTTGTAAGAGCTTGTACATAATTTAATTTGTAAATATAACCTTTTTCATGTAAAATATATTTTTATCATTATATTATATTTATAAATATTTAAATTTTAATATTTTTATACATATTTTTATGTTTTTTAAATTTTAAAAATTTTGATGAAAGGAGAATTTTTGACTTGTGGATAAACTTCAACACAAGATGCTAAATCATAGGATGTTGGGGTTAGGGTTAAAATAGACCTTACCACAAAGTGGGTTAGGGCCGAATAAGGTTTTGCAGCCTTACTCGCGCGCTACAATCTATTTCGACACCTTTATAAGACACAACAACTTTTGTTAGGCTACGAGGGTAGGCAAAAACAAATAAGAACTTCATCTTTATACTAAGTAACAAAGCATAGACTTCAAATTATATTTTAATCCGTACTTTATCAGTCACATTTGATTTTTAATACTATTTTCTTAAGTGGAAGTTTCTTCAAGTATTAATGAAATATAATGCACAACATGGGTTAAGCACAAACACAAATATTAACCTATGAAGCACCAACACTTCAAAAATCTTGACGTGTCGTGTCCGATACTTTTCGACACTCATCGACACTCCGACACTTCCTGACACTCCAATACTTGTTGCAAAGATTCAAAAAAGGTTTAAAGGTTACGTTGTATTGCATTTTGATTTTCAATTATTAGATTCGTAAGATTACGATTACGATTTTATTGAGTTTAATATAAACATTTTGGAATATTTTATGTTTCTTTGCAAAACTGATGGGTATTATAAGTTTAGCTTTATTTTTTTGTTAAATTATTGAATATTAAATATAATATACACTACATAAATTAAAAATATTATATAATATCAAAACGTGTCCTAACGTGTCAAAAGTTAACAATTTATAGAATTAATGTGTGGGAGTATCGTGTCGTGTAGTATCCTGCGTTCCGTGTCGGTGTCGGTGCAACAAAGATATTAACCATCATTTTCAAATATTCGTAACTTAACAAAATTATTGGTTTTGATACTATTGTTCAGTGTTTTAAAACCCCACCCCACCCCCCGAGTTGACCTGGGTCAACCCTGACTCCTCCCCTATGAGGGTTGGGATCACAAGTTCGACCCTATATGCATATCGACCCTTCCGACCCCCAAAACTCAACCGGGTTTCAGTGACTCCCGGGTCAGAGAGGTCACTGCATGTATTTTTTTTAAAAAAATTCCACGAAACAACATCATTTTATTGAAAAAATAAAATAAAAATGTTTGCAAACCTAAATCTAATCGTTCTCTTCTCTCGCAGCGACCTAGATGTCTTCAATCTTCACCTCGCTACCGTGAATCTTCTAGAAAAGGTAAGAATTTTATCCATTCAAATGAAAACCTTACGGTCGTCGATGGAAAACAAAAACTCATTCTTACTTCCTTTAAATTTTTCTGTCAGAGATCTTCTCAAAAGAGACAGAACCAGGTCAGCGTAGCGACTCAATTAGAATATGAGTTTTGTACTTTGGTATCTTGATACTTTAATTAGGTTGTGTAATATTGACTTGTGGTTGTAATTAGTGAATTATGTTAAGTATATTTTGAATCTTTGATGATTGGTGGTGTGTTTTTTAATATTTTCATATATGATATATATATATATATTTATATTTTTTTAATATATAAAACCGGGTCAGCGTAGTGACTCCGTGACCCCCTGGTTGAACCCGTGACCCCATGACCCCTGACCTCGGCCGAGTCGATGGCCGGGCCGGATTTTTAAACACTGCTATTGTTACGAAATTAGGTACCCTCCATCAATAAGTTAAGGTCTTAAGGAGAAAGATTTTACACCACATATTAACATAAAATCTTAAGACAATGAATCTATATATTTTTTCATTTATATAATCCTTCCTTAATTTATTCTTAACTAATTAAATATTTTATCACACACACTTAAATCTTGAATAATATTTATACCTAGGGTGTGTTTGGTACAAGGGTATCAAAAAGATTACTGGTAAATCTTCTTTGGTAAACCTCACTTACCATGTTTGATAGAAGTAAAAAAAATCAGGTCCCGGATATTCAAGGTTTACCGGTAATTTGATTTACAAAGAAAAGTCACTATTTAGATTACCATAAATAATATGGTAATTCAGAATTCTAAGTAAAAGGAAAGCACAACAACAATTTTTGAGACAAAAATATCTCAACACACATCAAAATCTAGACCCAATCTATCAATTACAAAAGTAAAAATAGTTTGATAAAATAACCTCATATTTCAAGTCATATTTCGTTTTAAACCAAACATGGAATCAGTAATCTTTATCCAATATTCCCGGTGATATTTTGGCGAACCAAACATCTTTTTTGTAAATTTCGAGTAAACTCAATTTTTAGTGTATTTTCAGTAATGGTGATTCTCGAATACCAAAAAATTTCTCTTGTACCAAACACATCCTAATATATTTGTATTTGAACAGGGATGATAACGAATCGCTTGAAAGCAAGTAGTTATCATGCGATGGAGAATAGTCTCACACGTGTAGATAAGATCAAAAAATTTAATTCATTGTTCATGTGACTTGCTTCCTATTCAAAGTAAAATGGGATTGGAGATTTGAAAGCACAAAGTGCTAGATTCAAGAAACTGCATTTATTTCACTCCTTTTTTTAGTTTAATGTCATATGACTCTAGTTTAGGAATATGTACTTCAACACTACTTTGGAAATTTAGTGGCGAAAGAGGACATAATTAGTTCAAAATGACGACATCCTACAGTAGATTTAATTCCTGTTTTTTTTTTTCCCCAAATAAGATGGAGGAAAATTCGGTTCAAAATGACGACATTTAGTATCACACATTATCCCTGTAACGAGGAGCAGCCGCAAGAGACTTTGAATGGGAAGCGACCCATAAAAGCCGTGTTAACAATGTTGTCATGCGCTCGCCACATTCCAATTTCTTGTCGCTCCAAGAATCTCGCTGTCTTAACTTCGAATACTCTTTTTCGTTTCTCTTTTTTGAATCCAACAACGTTATTTAAATCTCAACATTGTTCTTCTTCGTCAATCACAAGTACTAAGACTAGGAATAGAATGGGTTCTCTCTCTGCCTTTGACCAACCTATCCAATATCCCAATGCTCGTAGAGACGACTCCGTCGTTGACGACTTTCACGGCGTTAAGATTCCCGATCCTTACCGTTGGTTCGTAGTTCACCTTCAAATGCAATGCCTCCAATGCAATTCGTTTAACCGTTATTGACGCGATGTTTTTTTATTTTATTTTATTTTATTTGTTAGGCTTGAAAATCCTGATGCTGAAGAAGTGAAAGAGTTCGTGCAGGAACAGGTTCGGTTAACGGATTCGGTTTTGCAGAAATGCGATATTCGGGGTAAGCTTCGTGAGACAATTACGAAACTGTTTGATCATCCTCGTTATGAAGTTCCTTTCAGGCGAGGTAATAAGTACTTTTACTTCCACAACACTGGCCTTCAGCCCCAGAGTGTTCTTTATGTGCAGGTTTGACTTTGATGCCTTTTTGTTTTTTTAATGTTTTGAGTTTTGAGTTTCTCGGATTCAATTGTTGTTGCGTTTTCACTTTTCAGGATAGTTTGGAGGGTGAAGCAGAGGTTTTGCTTGATCCCAATGCCCTCAGTGAAGATGGTACTGTCTCACTCAACACGCTATCTGTAAGCAAAGATGCTAAGTTCTTGGCTTATGGACTTAGTTCCAGTGGTAGCGATTGGGTCACGATTAAAGTGATGTGTGTTGAGGACAAGAATGTTGAGCCTGATACATTGTCTTGGGTGAGTATGTCTTTAATTTGGTCGTGATAGAATAGAAAGTGAGGGAAGGATAACCGTTAATTTGTCTATAGATGGTTCAGTCATTTCACATAACCTCATGTCATTTGAAAGTATCCATTTCCCCTTAATTGGGCATAGAAAAATGAAAGTAATGAACTCTTCATGGCTGTGTTTCAGGTCAAGTTTTCCTCTATTAGTTGGACTCATGATAGCAAAGGTTTCTTTTACAGCCGCTATCCAGCCCCTAGGTAGATTATCTACTTTGCAATTTCTATTTGGTGTTATTTATGTGGAGATATTGTAAATAACTTGATCATAGTGATGATGGTACTTGATTGAAATTTTGAATTGATTACTTTGCCCAATTTACACTTTAGGGATGGAGATGTAGTAGATGCTGGGACTGAGACAAATGCAAACCTTCGTCATGAGCTCTATTATCATTTTTTGGGTACAGATCAATCGGAAGATATTCTGTGCTGGAGAGATCCTGATAACCCTAAATATTTGTTTGGAGGAAGTGTTACCAATGACGGGAAGGTACCTTTTCTTCATAGCCTTAGAACTATGTGATATTATCTGTATTCTTTTTGTGTCCATAATATAAGAAGATTTGCTACCAGTGTAATGTTTCCGTTCTTTTCAAAACTTTAGTGATGGCAATATCATTTATATGCTTGACTGTTTATACCTTACCGTACATATTTTTTTAGAAGGCATCTATTTAGCCCTTCTTGTTTTAGCATTTGAATTGGGTTTTGCTTTGAAAATCTGGGTCTCTAGTTAATTGCTTAGCATAATTTCCATCAATGCATGATTTAAGTGGCTGAGTGTTATAATTATTTTCTGTCATATTACCACGGTCAGATTTTTATTTTTATTTTTTTCTTTTACAAAATTAGAATGGGTCTTTTTCTTGTCAAATCTTGACATAAAAACCTCAATCTTTGTTATGTAATTATTTTAATATATATACTGCCATGAGAATATAGATTCATTAAATAGCATTAGCGAAGGTTCAGAGCAAACTATAGTATCCATTGTTTACTTGCAAATTCTACTAAATCTTCATAATTTGTAGGAAGCATACTTCATATTTGTAAGAACTATGGTTAAATTCAGAGCTTTGTAACTCAGACATGGGAGTACGCATAATTTGATTTTCCTTTGCCAAGGGGCATTTGTGTAACAAAGCATGCAAATGATTTTAGGTATATGATTCCAATTTTCCTAAGAAACTGACCGTTTTTGTTGATTGTGCAGTATGTTCTTCTCTATATTGACGAAGGGTGTGATCCAGTTAACAAGCTTTACTACTGTGACTTGTCTGAACTTCCCAGTGGACTGGAAGGTTTTCGGAATGAAAACTCCCTCCTCCCATTTGTCAAGCTTATTGATAAATTTGATGCACAGTATCATGCTGTTGCAAATGATGACACCGTGTTTACATTTTTAACCAATAAAGATGCTCCAAAATATAAACTAGTCCGAGTAGATTTGAAAGAACCAAATGCTTGGACTGATGTTATCCAAGAGTCTGAAAAAGATGTGCTTGAGTCAGCATGTGCTGTAAATGGTAACCAACTGATTGTGAGGTACTTGAGTGATGTGAAGTATGTTGTGCAAGTAAGGGACTTAGAAACAGGTTCATTGCAGCATCAATTACCAATTGACATTGGCACAGTTTATGGAATTTCTGCACGGCGTGAAGATACTGTGGTTTTCATTGGCTTTACAAGTTTTTTGACTCCTGGTATCATATATCTGTGCGACCTGGGAACACAGATTCCTGATATGAAGATATTTCGAGAAATTGTGGTCCCTGGATTTGATCGCTCTGGCTTTCATGTCAATCAGGTAAAAAGAAAAAAAGAAAACTTGCTGATGCTGATGATAAGTTGTTATCTTATTTTAAAGTTCACATTATTAATTAGGCTCTTTCAAATTTCATTACTCTGTATAAGTATGGCCATTGCTGCCTCTTGTAATCTGTGTTATTGTTGTTTCATCTATTTGTTTTATTCTTTGATGTAAGTTACACGTTTCAGGTTTTTGCGCCTAGTAAAGATGGTACCAAGATCCCAATGTTCATTGTTGCCAGAAAGGATATTATATTGGATGGTTCACACCCTTGTTTGTTATATGCATATGGTGGTTTTAACATCAATCTTACACCATATTTCAGCGTCAGTCGCATTGTACTTACAAGACATTTAGGTGCTGTTTTCTGCATAGCAAATATTCGTGGAGGTGGAGAATATGGGGAGGAATGGCATAAAGCAGGCTCTCTTGCAAAAAAGCAAAACTGCTTTGATGACTTCATTTCTGCAGCTGAATACCTTGTATCTGCTGGTTATACTCAACCCAGAAAGTTATGCATAGAAGGTGGAAGCAATGGTGGGCTTCTTGTTGGTGCTTGCATAAATCAGGTTTGATTCATTTGCTTGGTGAATTTCAAGTCTCGTCCTTTGTATTGAGCTTTCCGAATTTACTGTTTCCAACCATTTTTTATCAGAGACCTGATCTTTTTGGTTGTGCACTGGCTCATGTTGGTGTTATGGACATGCTACGGTTCCACAAATTTACCATAGGTTTGTTTTAATCTGTTTTGGTCTACTAATTTGTTATAGTAGTATCACATGTTGATTTAATTTTGTTATTCAGGTCACGCTTGGACCTCAGATTATGGTTGTTCAGACAAGGAGGAAGAATTTCATTGGCTAATCAAGTGAGTGTGATTAAATCTATGGTGAAATATCAAGGATAAATTTGTTTATTACATTTGGTACATAATAGATTATGGATAGATTCCTCTAAATTAGGTACATAATAGGCAAATAAATAGGTAAATACTTATATATAACCCAGACAACCAGCTTTAATCATTGGATTGATAGGTATGACTTTAATCTGATTCCATCAGCATGTAATTTAGATTTCCTTCCAGGTTTTAAGTTGAGAATTCTCAATCTCACTCTACTTGAAGTATATCAGGCAAAAAGTACTAATATGATTCAGGGACTATGATTTCTCATGTTTGATGGGTTTCTTTTGTGTGTGTGATATGATGTTTCTTTAATACGCTGTTTTAGGTACTCACCATTGCACAATGTCCGTAGACCTTGGGAACAGCATCCTGATAAGTCAATTCAGTACCCATCAACAATGTTGTTGACGGCTGATCATGATGATCGTGTTGTGCCCTTGCATTCTTTGAAGCTATTGGCGGTTAGTCTGCTTATCATAACTCAAAAGTATTGATTTGGGGAAATTTCAATTTTGATTTATTGAATTATTTTACTAGCTACAAAATAAATAGTTACAAACTACACTTCACTATATGCATAATGAAGATTTTGGGTGCTGCTGCTGCTGCACTCTCACTTATCCACCCCCTATTCCCCATTTTTGTCCCATTATTTCTCTATAACATTTATTTCAAATTTTTATCAGACCATGCAGTATGTCCTCAGTACTAGCCTAGATAAAAGTCCCCAGACGAACCCTATAATTGGTCGCATTGAATGCAAAGCTGGACATGGTGCCGGGCGTCCGACACAGAAAATGGTAATAAGTTCATCTTTGGATTTTTTTTTTTTTTTTTAAACTAGAAGCTATTTATAAATAGAAGTTAGACCAAACAGATTTTGAAAAAAATTCTTATTATAAAAGCTCTTTTTTTAGAGTCTGTTTGTTTGGACTTTTAAAAAAAAGTAACTTTTATCTCTTCATTGTTTTATAAGTGTTTTTTACAAAAGTTAAAGCTATTTATATTTTTATAAAAATATTTAATTTTTGAAAAAAAATATTTAGCTTTTGACTTCTGCTTTTTTTAGAAGTTAAATTTTTTAGCTCCTAATAAAATAGGTTTTTGGCCTTTTTATAACTTTTACTTTTTTTTAAATCAGACATCCAAATAAACTTAAAAGTGAAAAATGTTGTTATCAAAAAAAAAAAAAAAAAGTGAAAAATGTTTTTTTTTTCTTAAAAAAAAAAAACAGCTTTTGGAGGGAAAAAAACTCACTCAAACGGGTCTTTAATAATAAAGAAAAAAGTTAAAAGACAAAAGTTCGAGCTTTTTTTTAAGTTCTTATCGGATCTTCTTGAATTGTGCTTTTTTTTTTAATGAAAAGCTATAAAGATATATAGAGAGAGAAAATTTTCTTAAAATATGTGCTTTTAATTAACTTTTAAGCTAAAATTTTTATATAATCACTAAACAGTTTTTAACTTTTTTTTTTTTTTTAACTTTAACTTATAAATAGCGTCTAACTCGAAAAAAAAAAATCTAAACAAACTCTAAATTCGGTTTTTTTTTTTTTTAGCTTCCATTCCGTATTGTTGCGGTGCCTTTTGAAGTTAAATAAGTTGTTGTCCGCAGATTGATGAAGCTGCTGACCGGTACGGTTTTATGGCTAAGATGTTAGACGCCCATTGGATTGAATAGATCCTACTCAAACGTAATGAAGGGGGAAGGGAGAAGAATTTCAGTGGCCCCAGGCCAACATTTACTCAATAGTCGGGATCAATCAAAATCATACAACAAATAAGAAGAAAGAAGAGAGAACAAATAAAAAATAATTTTTTGTTCAAGTGTCACTCCTTCAATCGAAGTACCACATGGGGCGGCCGCTAGTACCAATAAAAATCCGGGGGAAGGGAGAATGGAATGCTTTGCTTTTTGCCATGACAAGAAAGGAACTGCAGTCGGTGATGTCTTGAACACTTTTTCAGAACAGTCATTGCAGTGGCCAAGAGAGGATGTTATTATTTTTCACTATTATTGTTTTTTGGGACAAATTGTATTTGTGTTATTGGAATTGAACAAGCTTCCCTTCCTTCCCTTAAAAGAACCGAAGAAAAAAAAAGGAATACCTTCTTAGTGCTTTGCTAAATTGTCGAGACAAATGAATTTTTAAACACGATTATAGAAAAACATTACCATTGAACTGTTTTCATTCATATGTTGTTAAATAGGAAAAATTGTCCAAATTGAACCAAAACATGCCCAAGAGTCTGCAAGCTAGTTCCTTTGAAACGCTTACTTCCGTTATACCTAGTGAGTAGAGTACCACAAACCATGACGTGTAAAGTAAAAGTTTCGCAACAACTGCGAAAGCTTGTCTTTGAATATAAATGACATTTCAGCAATTAAATCACTCATAGGCTCATAGCTGCCCATTAAGCACGTTTGTTAAGGGGAAAAAAAAGCTCTAAAAATTACGTCATAGAAATATGGGAAAAGTATTTACAAACGATAGTGTTTTACTCTGATAAACTCTTATCATAATACGGTGTAAGAATGAATACTTGACATTTGTTTTTGGGGCGCGGGAAAGCACATGCCTTTCAAAATCTCTCTACTCTGTTTCTATCTCTCTCTCTCCTGGGAAGAAAAACACTTTCAGATTGAAGAGCACCTAATTAGGGAACCCCATAATTTTAGAGCTTAATCTCGTTGAAAAAAAAAATCTGCAAATAAAAGAAAGAAAGAAAGAATGGCAACACCTTCTTCCTTCGCTGTGGTAATGACGATGGCAGAGCTGAGTAACTTGATGGGAGGGAGTTGGGAGGTTATTGAGGGAGTAGAAGAATATAAAAAAAATATGGAGATTCCCGCTCAAAAGACTATGCGAGACTGTTGCAGGTGTTTTCTTCACTCTTTTTGCCTTCTAGTGTAGGTTAGTTTCCAGAACTGTTTTTGTTGGCAAACGACAGTTTTTTATGTTAAGTGAAACAATGTCGTTTAAATTAAAATGATACAATCTTCGATACTTTAAAAGGACAAATATTTTTTTCAATAAATATTTTTTAAACTAATCCAAATGCACCCACGATCTTTTAGTACAATCTGAGTGAATCATAACTGTATAAAGTTGAAACAGCAGGATGAATTTCTGGTTCAATGGGAAGCCATCTGAAAAACATTAGAGCCATCCAAGATCATAGCAGAGGAAGTAGCCAATCCAGGGATCTGTTATTATACAACATCTAATTCCCAATCACCTGAATAAAACTATAACCGCTTTTAGACTTCTTCCAGATTGCTCGAGTGCACAAAGGGCTACCGAAATAAGAGGCTTGTCTGTACGAAAGGGTACAGCACTGGGAATACCTTCTAGTTTACTAGAAAAATTAGCAAAAGTTGAAGATGCACGCGTCTTTCATCAATGCACCGTTCACTACTATGTAAGTCAACCAGGATTTGAAACCGGATTATCAGATAACCTTACTAAGTCAGGAAACATTCCATTTTGATATCTGTGACATCAAGTTGCAAAATTTCAGCTCTACAACCCAAAATTGATCCAATGCTGCAAAACCAAAAGTAATAAATAAGGCACTTGCCAAGATGTAAAGCATAGAAGGGGATGGAGGAAATGCATCTTTTATCAGTTCCGAGTAGTTGAAAGTATTGTTTGTCATACCTAGGATGGGTTCGTCCAAGATCCCCATGAACAAATTCCTTAATGTAGGTCCCCGCCTGCACAAACATATTAGATCTTTAACTAAGTAGTTATTACAGATTTCACAGTAGATAATGCCTAATAACTATTGGTGGGGTAAGGCGGGAGGGAAATAAAAAGCTCATGCTAGGTTCTTCTATAGTTTAAACCACTCAAAACTCAAGACCAAATGGTAGTCATTTATTTGTCCTATGTGATCATTCTATCCACCCAAATAAAGTACTTGTATTAAACCTATTTGACATATATTATCTGCCAAATTTTCACCATTCATTGCCAATCAAGTTTAAAAGCCTGTGGAGCAAGGAGCTGTGAAGTTAGTGGTGTTAAAACCATAACTTAAGTCTAGCTCTAATTAAAAACTAATTCAGTTATTGTAAAACTACATTTATATAAGAGAGAATATAAAACAATACCTGCGTACAGAGATGCAAAAGAAAATATTGTGAACTTCCAGCAATTGTCTCAATTTTCATCCTAAGATTTGAGAAACAGAAGGCATCGCGAAATTTCAGTTACTAGTCTGAATGTGGCCTTGATTGTGAACATGGCATGTAACTATCAATATAAAGAAGGATCATACCAATGAATAATCTTTTCACGCTCTAAAGGACTGCGACGGTGTAGCACCCTTATTGGGGTCCTCTGCAAAACTTTCTGCACAAAGCAAAAGAAAAGTTTGTGATCTCCGAAGTTACAAATTAAACAAAAAACTGATTATAAGCAGAAATCCCAGTAGAAATTATCCCAGTTTTTATGAGCATGAGACAAGGTGAGACAAACCTTTGCTAGTGCTAGAGCAAGTCTTCAAAGGAATCAAGAATATGTAATCAAATATCATGTTCAATTCTCATTTTCTTGCGAGTTTCTGCATTTTTGCCTAACAACGAATTTCAATCTATTATTTGAAGTTTAAACATGGGTCCTATTATTTCCATTAGCTTATTGGATGAATAAAATTCTGATACCAAATTGTGTGATTGATTAGATAAATCAAATTGACTAGTAACAACAATCAGAACTTCTTTTATTATTGATCAAAACTTCTTTTTATTTTCGTTATTCTGCTTAGAAGGATATCTTATCATCTTCCCAAGTGATATTTCCTCTTTTTCTATAATAAAATTATTTCTTTTACAATTTTTTTTGTACAAAAAAAATCATAGCAGTAGATGTTGTTGAGATATATAGTCTCACATTGGTTGTATGTGCAACTAATGTGGAGTTTATAAGGTCTTGGGCACTCCCACCCTTTGAGCTAGCTTTTGGGGTGGTGTATCCCAAGGTTCTTTACATGGTATCAGAGTCTCGCCACCCCCCACTTTCTCTTGTGGTGTTTTTTAGCACAGGTAGGCTGGGCCTGTTGCATTGTCCACTCTTCAAGCCCAATGGGCTCTCGTGTGAGGGGACGTGTTGAGATATATAATCCCACATTGGTTATATGGGAAACTAATGTGGAGTTTATAAGACCTTGGACACTCCCACTCTTTGAGCTAGTTTTTGGGGTGGTGTATCCCAAGGTTCTTTACAGATGTAAATGCAATGGTATATAAATATGAGCACTGCACAGGAATGGATTCAATGAGCGTGCATATGAAAGTATGAAATGGGTAAATCACAGCCTTAAATGACACAGAATTAGAATCAGGACATGATAAAAAAAAGACGGACACATCTTCGAGCACTACTCAGCCTAAATCAATGATGCTGAGACAGAAAGCAAACGTTAAGTTCTGCCTGTGTATGTTAAACTTTTCTTACAAAATACAAATTTGATAATAAGTTGTACACAGCATAAACACTCACCAAATCCTTTAGTGAAGACACACATTGAAAATCTTCATCCTTCAGAGGACGAGAAATCCACACTAAAGCAGCATATTGCTTCTACACAATTTCAAGATTGTAATAGTAAGCATGATTCAGATAATACAATGGACAAAGCAAAGCTGCAAACCATGAACTATGAAATAAAAGTAAAAGACTAAGAAGCAAAATGAAAGACCTGCTTCTCTGCTTCGCCTTCACGCATAAGGTTCCAGCCATGACTACCAACAAGTTTCAGATTTTTCACCCTAACCTATATGAACATATCATATGCATTTACTCATCATGAAATAAATAACTGACATAGAAACATCACAAATTCAGCTACAACATTACCAATTTACTCTCCGTGTTATTTATCATTTTCTCAATATCTTTTACAAACAATTCAGATGGGACATGCCGTGTGTTTTGCACCTCAACAAGGAAAGGCCTGCCTGGGCCCAACATTCGGACCTAGAAGAATAGTTCCATTTTAGATAAGTTCATTCACCAAAAAACTTGAAAAAGACCTAAAAACCACAAGTTTTTATTACATCAATATCTTCTCTGCCAGCAGCATGAAACTTAAAACTATCGCCTTGGCATGCTTGCAGGATTTTTCCACCAATTAGTTCCTACAATGTAAGTACACATTATTGTCACCTTCTGCGATCAACATTTATAAGGTAAGATAGAATGACAACAGCTATTTGCCAGAGTAGACAGTACCTCAACTGATGATTCCCCCATTCTTTCATCATCAATGATCCAGCGTGTTTGACTCACATTCCGGGAATACTGCCATGAAAGTAACAGCATAAATTTGAAGTTGCACAAACTAAGTTCAATCTTAGTCGATCATAACTTTGCAAGTCATAGATATATGCTTATGTGCTTATGTCTAGACCAAATAAAGGAAATTATATTCCATAGATGAAGGATCTTTTTTTGGTGACAATAGTCAATTACAATTTACAATTTATTTCACTATATATTTCAAAGTGCAGAAATCAACTTGCAGTCTGCATTAAGTACCATCGAGAAACATCTCCACATAGTGTCTGTCTATACACAAGATACATATCATGAAATATCAGCTGATTTGCACATATAAAATTATGAGAGCTGCTTTTGAGTAAAGAAATGCAACGTTTATCATGTTTTAGGACAAAGCTAGATGGAAAAAAATCTATGCTGATGCCATCAGAGAGGCTCAAAGGAGGCAGGGACTTGTCCCGTGGAAGGAAGTTTGTTTATCAACCCACATGAGAGTATCTTGAACCCCTTCACAATCAGCTTCCACACACAGAAGGGGGTGGGGAGGGGGGAAGAAAACAAATAGATCAAATCAAAGAATGCAACAACTTTTGAGAACCCCTTTCATGATATAAACCAAGAGAGATTGAAAAGAAAAACTCAAAATTGAAAGATAAAGCGTGATTGCAACACACACACACACACACACAGAGAGAGAGAGAGAGAGAAACCGATACAGATAGATCAAAATTGAAGATGTCGAGGGAACCTATTTGCCACAATGATCATATCAGACAATAAAAGTTCGCACATTTTATTTCTTTGATGGGGTTGTTTCACAATAAGGTTAAGCTAACTGTTTTTTTTTTTTTTTGGAGATATTAAGCTAACGATAATACGATATCACTATCTTTTGTCAAAAGTTTAAAATATAACCATGGCAAAGAAAGTTGAAATGCTGAAGAGTTGTTGTATGTTAATCTAAAAAGGAGGGGGAATGGGGTGGAAATTAAAAAATTTTACCTTCAGATATGTTCCATCAAGATAGACAGGTATGACACAGACAGAGAGAGAGATAGAGAGAAAGGGGAGAAATAGCACATAGATTAACATCAAAGACGGACCAGCCTTGAGAGTGAGAAAGAGGGAGCGAGGGGGAAGGAGAGCACCTATTAGCCACAAAGACCATATTAGATAATAGGTTTTGATCTTTGATGGGGTTGTTTCATAATAAGCCAATGATATCATTAGACATTTTCAGCTTTCTCTCAAAAAATGTAAAAATATGACAATGGAAAAAAAATTTGATGTATCTGAAGTATTTTAGTCCAATTATGAAAGGAAGGGGACGGCGTTGCGGTTTTTTTTTGGTTTGGGGGGGGGGGGGATAACAAATCCATTACCTTCAGGTATCTTCCACCAAAATAGAAAGGTGTCCTGTAGCAAACGTAAGTAAAATGGCAAGGTTCATTTGCCTGAAAAGCAAGAAAAACCAAGTTAGCAATATAATCATATCTTAATAAGTTAATAGGCAATGAACAAATGAAGTCAGTGGATCATTCCCATTTACCCAACAAATCAGCAAGGATTTATGATACAGAGAAATTTGATACGAAGCATTCTGACAAACATGAAATTATCATGAAAGCAAAGCAATTTAAATTCACAAGACATTCAATCATAAACAAAAGAGAAAAATCACGAAATACCGTTTCTAGCAAGAATTTACAGCAGTCAGGGGATTCATTTTCGAGCAAACTTCCAGTAGTACTTTCTCCAACTGAATTGAATTCACCTATAAAAAAATCCAAATGGTCAATGCTAGGAACTGTTAAATCATTGGCAGTGCCTACACCATTGTCAGACCTACAGACAATATTAGCATATGTAGGAGCAGAAGAATTGCTAAAAGGAGACAAAATTGGATATATGACACTGTCTGCCTGTAAAAAAACATTTACAGACTGAAAAAGGCCTATTTAAGGGGCAGAAATTCTGAAGCAGAATGGAAGGAAGAATCTACATTCTACAAGGAAAACTACTTTTAGCAGCCATTTAATAACAACTATTGTTTTAGTGTACAACATGAAGTTCTACTGAAAAAGTAGTACAATATGCGAAATTTTTTTGCATGGATTTGAAATTTTAAGCGACCCAACAAAGGATCCTTTTTTATGGCAGCATTTTACTGTAAAATAGATTATTCATTAAGAATAATATTTACACAGTCCCATTATCATAAAAGGAAATATCAGTGCAAAGGATGAATACCTCATGCAGAATTAATAATTCTGCAACAATGATGCACAAAGGTATAATAATACAATATGAAATCAGATGAAATCAAAGTACCAAAAAGCAAAGTCAATCACATAATCACATTTTCTAGCATAAATAGTCAGTAAAAAAACAACACAAAGCAAAGTAAATAAACTTAGACATGCCTGTTTTTCTTTTCTTGCAAATCTCGGCATTATCAGAACATTTCTCTGCCCCTTTTGACGCTCTAGTGTGATTGTATGTCAAACGGATGCGGAAAGAGCTCATACTCGATTTACAGTCCTACAAAACTTGATTTCTGTAAAGGGTTATTGGATAACAAATCGACTGAAAGATAACATCTTGACTCATACGAAGAAAAGGCACTTTTAAGATCAAGTAACTTCCATTCTCACGCGTGATGACCAGTGCCAAAAAAAAAAAATGCATAAAATCTTAAGTTTTACTCACCAGAAGATTTTCAAGAGGATATACTAAAGAAAATTTTAAGGCATCCTTTATAGAGATGCATCCAACATGCAACTTTTCTTGGAACCAAGGTTGAGATTCATATTTCGTTTTCATATATGACCTACAAAAATTTAACATGAGAACATGTTCCCATCAATATTAAGCACATAAGATAAATAGAATCTTAATTTAAATATTAGTGCAAGAGAAGTATAAAAACCATTACTGTGGCCTTCATCCAACAACTTAAACTTTTGGATTAAAATGATTGTTTACATAGTATCAAAGTTTCTGAATGACCAAGTGGTCACAAATTCGATATTCAACACATTTAGTTAGGCCTATACATTATCCAATCATGAAATGAAAAGCATACTAAGAGTTCTTAGAGTTAGGGTTGTCATTCTTTATTAACAGCTGATTATGTGCTTCTCATCTAATATAAGCCTAATTTGAATTGGTTTGAGTTTAGTAAAATAAAGGTTTCGCTGAAGTGCAGTCACAGAATAAACTCTTACCAAAGAGAGGTATCGTTTTCAATGATAATGGGTGGGATGGAAACTTCAAGGGAAAAGCTATCAACCTGATAGCCCTCTTTTTTAACCATGTCAGCAATTAGAACAGCCATATCATCATCATTTTTGGGCAAGATTTCTCTGTCATTAAAAAATCTGAACTGCAGAATCCCTAAGCAAACCCTGCAAAGTTTAACTTCCTTATCCGTTGTTGCTCCTTGTTCAACTTCAACAATAGAAGCGAAGATAGATGATGATAACGAGGAAGCATAGATGCGACCTTGCACACCAAACACCCGAAAGATGCAGCGAACACATATCTGTTCAAAAAAAAAAGTGAAATCAGTGAATGAATTGGAATATAGAATTTGGAATTACAAAAAACAGAAAGTGATTCCCAACCCCGAGAGACAACAAGTACTTCACGGCGTCGGAAGGCAAAGCCTGCACTACGTCTTCTAACGGTTTTTCCGCGGTTTCGCTCGTGCCATTCGCGGCTTCCTCCATTACTGTTTTTGATCACTCTGCTCTTCTCTTCTCTTCTCTGCCTCAACACTTCAATGTAATAAGTTCTGTATCTGTAATGCATTTATCTTTTTGTTAACAAATCACGGAAATTTATTATTATTTGAAAAAAAAAATTTATTTCCGAAACTTGCCTCCCACTAAGATGACCTAGCTCGTTCAAAAAAAAAAAAAATGGATTAAATACTAAAAAAAATTGGATTAATTTTTAAAATTACATTTTTGTTTAATGCGAATGTTACATGGGAAATCATATTTTTATATTGCATGAAATTAATCTCTCATGTTACTCTTATTTCGAAAAATATGTCTTTTTTTTTTCTTCTAAAAATTGGTGAGTCCATTTTATTTGTCTCTTAATATGAGAGAACTTCTGTTATATAACATGATAGAAGTAATTCCCATGTTAAATATATAACAAACAAAGAGGTTAATCTTAATTCTCATGTCTACGAGGAAATAAAGTTATTTGTTTTCGGAAGAAAATAAAGTTAATTCATATTTGCGGCAGAAATATTATCCTGAATAACAAAAGGGAGTTATTAATCTCATGTTACTTGAGATAGTTCTTTCATGTGTGTGAGATAAAAATATGTGGTCCACACTTTAAAAAAAAGAAAAAAAAATGGAAAAAATTGACATAAAATTCAATGAGTGTATAAAATTAGATAGTTATCTCCAACAAAATGAGAAAAATATTTCCCATAACAAAAATAGGAATAATAAATTTATATTCATCGATAGTGCATAAATTTTTTTCTCTAAATACATGTTGTCCATTTGAAGTGTCATTTTGGTACGAGTTGCTATTTTCCAGCTTTACCCTTATACTTTAACGAAGTAATTAAGAGATAGTGTGATATAATAAGGTGAAGCAATTAATTGTTGAAAATTGTACACGGATTGTTTAGTAAAAATTTCCATAATTAAAACTTGGTTGTGACTCTTAATTCTTGTTTGTGCCTTTGCATCAAAATAACACTTAAATAAATCGCGGGTATACTTTATGAGTGTAATTTGAATATACTGTTGATATTAAAAAAAATTACATTATATATTGCCAAAACAGTTAATGAACTTGAGATCTCATGTACTATCAAACTAATTAAATAATTGTTTCATAAAACATGTTTCTTTGTGACAAGAAATCATATATTTTCACGTGGATCAATATTTCATACGGATATAAGATTTATATTATTTCAAATTCCATTCGGTGAACACTATATCACATCACTACATGTGATCTTGCGGGCATTGCCTAAATTTTGACGTTGCTTTTAATCTTTTTGGTTGATATACATAATAATTAATACATTACCGAATATTTCCTGCCGGCATCAATATTGCCATTTGTGATTAGGGGTTACTAACGCCAATTTGGTTTGTGCAGATAATGCTGAAGTTTCAGTAATAAATAGAGTTATATTTATTTCATGTCGTAGAAAAATAAGTATTTCATGTTATAGAAATAAAATTACAAATAGAATTTACAGATAAAAGGAGAGAAAAAAATAGATGTGAAACTCACCTCCACTTTGTATATATAGAAAGCTTATTTATCTTATGTAACATAAGATAAATATAATTCATAAATATATCAACACATTACGTCTGCTGCCAACATCAATCAGTTCGGATTATCGTGTCGAGCATTATATCACAAAAAGGAAAAAAAGTATAGTACTTGGGCCTTTTGACCCTACTAAGTTTTTTTAAAAAAAGTTTGACCAGATTAATTTTTTGGTCAAACATATTACCAATGTAATGCATAACGACGCGGCGATTTGTGTACCACGTTAAGACGCGGCATTTTTCGCAATGCTTTTATGTGAAATTTCAAGCGATCAGACTATAGCATTTATTGAACTGAGACACGGTAGTTTGACTACCATTTTTATGTATGACAGACTAGAGCTAACGCGGTTCCCTACATACCGCGTTCAGTGGGAAAGCAGCAGCGTCTGTGTGATGGGATGTGGCATTGACAGTTTCTTATATTACGAGTGATAAACCCTTAGTTTACCATGTTTTTAGGCTTAATTATGTTTGATATATATCATGAATTGCATGAAAATTAGGATTTTATACTCTAAAGTTACAGTAATTGAATATTTTGCTAACATGTTGTCATAATTCTGAATTCAAGGGTTTTTGATACCTATTATGGTATTTTGGAATCAAAAGAAGATATCAAGTTGAGTTGAAGTCACAAGAAAGCAAGTTTTCAAGTGTGTACCAGCTGAAGAAGGACGTTTTGGCGTCCATGAATCATGTTTAAATGCACAAAAGGAAGAAAATAACCATTACTCCTTGGAGGAGAGCGTTTTGGCGGCCAAACAGCACGCCAAAACGCTCCTGAAGCAACCAAAATCCTTCGAAGAGCACGTTTTGGCGTGCTACTGGACGCCAAAACGCTTGGAGGCAGACAAGAATGCACTGTAAGCACGTTTTAGCGCACAAACAGCACGCTAAAACGTCCATGCACGGCCAAAGCTAAACTCCAGGAAAGATTTGATCAAGATATGCAGCGGATTCTATAAGATACAAAGAGGAAACACAACAACCTTGATTGAGATAAGATATAACTCCAATAAGAAGATGTGATGGAAGATCACAACAAGATTTAAAGCTCAAAATCGTCAACCAATCTCCAAGATATCAAATGCAAAAAGGAAACAAAGATGAAATCAACCACAAATCTGATATGGATTCATTGGAGATTTAATGAAGAATACAACTCCAAAAAGCTATAAATAAAGAGCTTGGGGTCAAGACCAATACACAGACAAGTCCAGAGAAATACATAGAGACCTGAAGGAGGAATCCTGTTGCGGAGCACTAGAACACTGAGGAACCAAGTCAATATCACACCAATGGAGGCTTGGGGTTCTCTTTTCTTTATTAATTTTTTCCAATTCAGTATGCTAGAGTAGTCTTTTATGTAGTTAAGGGTAGATAGAACCCAATTGAATCTTTATATTTATGAATTAAATTGTCTCTGAATCCTGTTCTTTTTATAATTGAATAAATTATCTGTTTTTAATGCTTTCTATGAGTTTGTTCCTTATAGAATGATTTTGGAGAATTGTATGACAATAGGGATGTTGGTGCAAGAACCCTGACTTGATAATTTATCATAATCCTTGTGATCTAGGGATAGACATAGGGTAATTATGCAATCTTGAAATTCTTGATCTTAATGCATGTTTTCTTGGGGAATAATCGGGGAACTAGAGTTCTTTCAAGATTACATAGATTTAGGGTAACAAGGAATTGAGCCCTAATTAACTTATAAAGAATTGATTGGCAATATATTAAGAAACAGATTCATGACTGTTTAATTCATAACATATTGAGGAAATTGGGGGAAGTCGAAACCTTAACTACGCTTGTTTTAAATTCTTAATCAAACATCATCTTCTTTCATTCTTTTAATTCTGAATTTCCTTAATTGCATGATTTTAATTGTTTTTAATTTTTTTGAATCACAACTTTCTTCATCTAAATTCTTGATTGTCCAACTAAGACGCGATTAGTGAACTAGTGCTTGAAAATTCTGATCCTCGTGGGAACGATCTCGTACTCCGGTACACTTTATTACTTTACGAACAGTGCACTTGCCGAGTCGCAACAAGTTTTTGGAAAATCGTCAACCACTCGTAAGATGTATGACAGACTATAGCTAACGCGGTTCCCTACATACCGCGTTCAGTGGGAAAGCAGCAGCGTCAGTGTGATGGGATGTGGCATTGACAGTTTCTTATATTACGAGTCATATATCTAATGATTTTATCAAATGGAATGGAAAGGGTTAAAATTCAAGGGGCAAGGTATATACAGTCCAAAGAATTGTAATGAAATTTAATATATAAGGTCAAAAAAAAATTGGGTGCTATATTTATGTTTATGTTTATTATAATGGCCTGAAATTTTATTAAAGATATTATTAAATTTTTTAAAAGTGCTATATTTATATTATTTACTTAAAAATTTAAATTAATTTTCATCACAAATAATAGGATGCAATTTGTTTGTAGATTTGGAATCCTACATACCATCATCACAAATAATAGGACGCAATTTGTAGACAAGAACTGCAACAAACCCTCGAAAGAACAATAACTTATGCATATATATACTTCCGTGGAGCACCCTCAAACTAACGCAAACAAGGTCCTTAAAAGAGGTTGGAATAATGCTTAGAAGAATCAAAAGGTGACTGGTCTGATCACCTGGATTACGTCTTTTGGGGATATAAAACAACACCACACTTTTCTACAGGATAAATCCCTTTTAAAATGTCATATGGAAGTGAAGTTATGATCCTTATTTAAGTTGGTGAACTCACTTGCAGAAGAATATACTTAGACATTGAAAGCAACAATCAGGTTCTTCTCAATAACCTTGATCTTGTTGAAGAAGCAAGAGAATTGACTCATATCAAGGAAACCACATTAAAACAAAGGATCACAACAAGATATAACAAATAAGTGATCCCGTGAAGATTTCAAGAAGTTGAATTAGTTTTAAAAAGAGTGGACGTGGGAAACAATATCGCAAAGGATGGAAGACTAGCAGCAAATTGGGAAGAACCATGTTGCGTGATTGGAAAAATAGAAAATGGAGCTTATCTATTAAAACCACTAACAGGATTAAAAATCCCACAAACTTGGAACATTGATAAAATTAAGAAATTTTATAGTTGAAATCTTGAGCTTAAAGTCTTAAAGAAAGAAACTTTTTCCAGTTTAAAGATTCAAGTCTTATATCATCCGAAATTATTTATCTTTAATGGCAACCCAAACTATGAAGAATCCCGGGAGATTAAGTTTTCCTATAATAGGTGTGTAAGATAAAAGAACCTCAATAGGGAAAATCTCCAGTGAAAAATGTCCCCCAACTTGCTCTTGGGGCTCTTCCTTATCATGCACTAGACCCTATGCAACCTACTAAATAGTCAGCCTTCTTGCAAGAATCTCGATTTAGGAGGAATAGCATGAGATAATGTACACATTA